GAATTTCGTTGTAATTTCAGCTGGGTAATTGCTCTTCTATTTGTATGTTGCGCGTTCTGTTTGCAGAGTGAGCTTCCTCTAGTTGGAAATGTAGCTCCCGATTTTGAGGCCAAAGCTTTTTTCGACCAGGCTTTTTCTGGGAGGAAGATGAAATCGAAAATTAGATGGAGAAGTCGTTGGGCATATATAATTGCCCCAAGCGGTGCTCTCTCCTCAGGATGACGTGGCGCGGTGGTGGCAAATCCAGTCCAGTTGGCGTCGACGTGGAGTCTATAATTCGGCCACCTCAGTGACGCGAACATGTAACTAACGGCGTCCCTAACGACGTCACATTTAATAAGGGAAATGGCTATAATTGTCAACGCATTTTCAAATTTTTGGCTGTGTATTTCTCAGAATCTGGCTATATTTGTCACAAAGTGCAAAATTATGGCTATGGAAGTGAATTTATTTTTGACACATAAGTAAAACAAATTTTGAATGGTAGACATTAGACAATTTATTTTTGACGATTATTTACTTCTGTGAAACAAATCTAGGATGCTATTGTTATAGAGTTAATTTTGTTGCCGTATCCTTCTGCACCCTAAGTAATAGCTGTAAACATGTGAATTGTGTTTCTTTGATATGGAATTTGCTCATTATCCTTAGGAGGAACTCTCTGCCAGCGTTTTGAGCTTCCAACTTTGTCATTTTTTCAGTGTTATTAAAGTCGAGCAGAGCCGCTCGGCCCGACCGGTAAAACTGTCATCCGATCACAAAATCGGCTAGGAATAGTCTAAAAGCCGCTTCGGTTTTATGTAGCGGTTGACGAGCGGTCGAGGCGGTTAACCGCTCGAGCCGATCGAGGCCCTCGTTCGATTTTTGCCATTCACCCGTTAAATTTAATTAAAAAATTGCAGAAAATTGAAAATTGAAATAAACCAAAAACATCGGGCTCTCAAACTGGATCCTTATTTCCATTTCACAATTTCGAAAGAAAGAGACGAGCTCTGATTAAGAAATGCCAACTATTTATACTGATAACGTTTATTAGGTACCGGTTCTCTAACGATTTTTAAACAGTCTAATCCCGGTTGAACCACTAAAATGCAAGCCGTTCGCATTACCGGGTCATACTTCGATTCGGTTCTGACAACATTGCATTTTCTAGTGGATTATGCCGCCAGTAATTAGTAATGCAGGTATGAAACCATTGCTTATCCGAAGAAATTTTTATTCTGCAAGGTATAAATTATTTTTTGAGCTCATGTTCATGCTTCGTTGATCTTGAATTATTATTGTGTCATCAATTTGTTCTTATTTATCTTATACATTGGCTTTCTTTGCAGAACTTATATGAATGGTTCTTGCTTCTATCCAGAAGATCCATTTAGCAATGGTAAAAGAACGATATTTCGTCAGTGAATTCAGAAACATGGAAATATTAGATACCAAAGTTGGAAGTATAGTAATAGCGAGGTAGATGGAAAGGAATTTGATTTTGTATTTAGAATATCCTCATTTGTATGTTTAGAATTAGTCTATAACTTTTCCCCTCTACATGTGTAATTAGTATGAACCTTTTAAGAAGACTAATGGTGATGTCAGTTTTTGTATATCATAGTATTGCTTAGCAAAGAATGTACTTTGTTATTTCTATCATGTATTTTGCGTTGGTTGGAAGTTGGAACTTTGCTGCCTTTATCCTAAGTCTTTGCAGTGGATGCATTGGATTAGTATGTCAGTTTTTGTATATCAACCAATTTTGTACAATGGATGCATTGGATTCTTCCTCTTCCTCTTTCTCCCCTGCTTTTCGTTCTTCTTCTTTTGAACAAGGAAAAACCTAAGGGCTGCACCCTTTGACGTAAAAGATCTTACATCTCTCTCTCTCTCTCTCTCTCTGAAGATTTCACTCCTCAGCATTCCCTTAAAAAACAGAGCAATGAACCAGAGTAAGCTGGAAGGAGTGAAGTCCCATTCTTCCCTTCAAATCGAGGTATTAACTCACATTCATTCACTTAGTTCCCGTTCTTTCATTCATCTGTACATTCACAAAATCGTTCTCTGTATTTAATTGGGTAACCCTTTGCATTTCCTCTTGTTGTATTATAATCAACGAACGGATACAGAAAAGCTAGATCGTCAAATTACCAGCCTATTGGCTCATGAGAGATGAATGGAGCCCCTGAAATTTTATGTGCAACTCTTTGAAGGTCCTGTGAACTTCAATGAGGATTAACATTGCTATTTGCTACCACCATTGCTCTGGATTGACCAAATCCAAGCAGTAATCGTCCAAATCGGTTGAGTCCAATGCACAAGAACCAGAAACCCGAGACATCCCATCCTGCAGCCTCCCCACGACGCTTCACAATCTGATGATGGAATTCCGGCCACCGAATCCAGTCTGGAATCCCAAATCGCAATTGAATGCAGGAATTTTGACGCAAATCATGAACGCACTATGTTTTCTGTTGGTTCCCCGTGTTTCTTTGCGATCGCTTCTCTGGATTTCCGTTCTTTTTCTCATTTATTCTGGCTCCTCAAGGTGCCAATTCATCACAGGGTCAATATATCGCAAAAAAGTCAATAAATCGCGTAAAAATCGCGATATTTTGTCATATCGTGAGATCTCGTCAATTTCAATTTCTCGTCAATTTCTCGCGTTTCGATTTTGGTTTTGAGGACTCGAAACGTTTCGCGTTTCGCCCGTTTCTGGCACCAGCTTTACGGCTTTGCAGGGGTTTCACGTTTTCGCCGTCCGTCCGCCTACATCCCACTCGAAACGCCGCCTTATTTCAGTTTTCTGGGCCTTCAATTAAAAAGGGAGGACGCCTCTTGGGCCTTCGTCGGAATGAAGCCCATATATTCTCCGAGCGTCCGCCTACCTTCCGATAAATACGGTGTCGCCTTTTCCAACATGTGGGCGCGGCTGGAACCGTTTCGAACACCCGTTTTTTTCACTTTGCGGGGCTTTCCCGTTTCCGCGCGGCCTCCGCCTACCTCCCACCCCAAACGCCACCCAATTTCAGTTTTTTGGGCCTTCAGTTGAGGAAGCTTCTTAAGCCTTTGTCTGATTGAAGCCCATGTTTTTTTTTTTTTTTTTGTAGAAAAATGGGAGCCCATGTTTTCTCTTGGTGTAAGCCTACCTTCCTTCAGAAACGGCGCCACATTTGCATTTCTTAAGGCCTTCAATTAAACAACGAAGAAGCGGGGTACATTAATTAATACCAATTAGAACAACCATACAATTAATTCAGTACAATATTTGATCAGAAGCTTTTTCGTTAATATATAAATATTAGTTAAAATGTCTTTGGTGTGTATAACACATGCATACTTAGCTAAGCTTTTCATTGGGGTCAAATTTGAGGTGATCATTGAAAAAAAACTTTTGTTCAAATTGATCATTCCATCTCCTCTCCTTGATAATTAATTAAACCAACGTTAGAGGGCGGGTTTTTCTTCTTCTCCCTTGCCTTGATGCATGCGTACATATAGCCATACAGTTGATCTTCTCCGGACAGAGCCATCTTGCTTACATATTTGATTTTAGGTGGGTTTGTTCAACCTTATCGTATTAGCATTCTAACAAAAAAAACTCTGCGCAAAGTCATTACTTACTGCAGATTGGCCCATGACCGATCAATTATAGTCTTTCCTTTGCCATTGTTATTCAGATGCTGAAACAGTGGATGTCATATGAACAACATTAATCCAAGACCGACGACGTGTCTTTTACACATCCATTCAAATTCCGTGGGAACCTATTGATCATAGTCTGAGCATCCATACTCAGACTTCAGTACTGGTAAATGTGTTATGTACGTGAAGCTCTGCTATGGAATGTTAACTGTCTGTTCTCAGGAGCTAACTAGTATTCCAAATTTTTGGGTTGCTACATTAAGTGCGGTGCCCCCGTTCCTATCTGCTGTTTCAGTTATGAAACTTTTTCTGGGTTTTACCCGACAGTAACCAAACCCGCCAGCAAACACTTCAATTCCAACCTGATAAGCCCAAATTAACAGTTCGGGTTTCAGTTAACCGAGGGACCCAATTCCGACTGACAAGCGTAGTTGGATCTCATGCTTGTCAAATAGCAACGTGTTCACATCAAGAATATATCACCTCTATTTAGGGGTGGCAAAAAAATCCTTAACAGTGGATATCTGTCCGAATCCGACTTAATCGTGTAAGGTAAAACTCGAACTCAAAGTACGTTTAGTTGGTACGGATAAAACCCGAACCCAAGTATTGCGGGTAATGGGTGGACATGATTTTCTCAATAGCCAACCAGAACCCGCCCGATTATACACATGCATATGTATTTTGTGTAGAAATAATCATTATTTTTCTCTAACATATTTTATATTTAGCATATGAATATAATATTTTTATAAAATTGTGTTATTTTAATTAATTTTCTTCATTCTTGTGAATTATTGTCGTACTATTACTCTTACGTAATGTGAATATACATGTGAATGTTAACATATTGGTTGGAGTCATGAAGAAAATTTATTACTCATGGTCATGGACAGGACAGGAATATATAAAATTTAACTTATGAAAATTTTAGCCCATCACATCCAAAATTACGTAGAAAATGTATTCAAAATATGTATAAGAAAATATCTTATTTTTGCTTAAATTGTTATAAAGAAAATAAATTTTAATAGCTTAACATATGAAGGCAAAAAACAACACAAAGACATGCACCTACATATGTAATCCGCGTATGACCCCATGGCCATAGACTATACAGCATACACCATAACCAAATTGCAAGGACTACCTACGAAATACGAATGAAGAGGAAGAGTCGTGGATTCCTTGGTTCGAGCAACTGAAAAAGGAAATCATCATTGTCGTCTATTTTTCAAGTATCGAAAACGACAGTGTCATTCAAAGGAGCAAACAACAAATGCCATGAGGTTACGACATGGGAGTTCCCGTTGGATCATTTGGCACAAACCCACAGGATAAACAAAGCTTGTTGTCGTTTATTTATCTGTTTAGGTCGCAACTAAGCCACTCTGGCAACAAATACAGGCTGCCAAGATCCCTAGCAAAGCTCCAGCAACGACTTGGGATGGAGTATGACCCAGAAGTTCCTTCAACTTTCTTTCACTTATTGGATGGCCTTGGAACATGTCCTCAACGATCATATTGAGAACCTGGAATGTCAGCACAGCCGAAACATATGAGGATTAGACCTTAGTACTGACTCTCATTGGCAGGAAAAAGGATTTGGCAACTCTAAAACCAGCTAAAAACATATCAGAGCACTGCTAGTCTATGCAAACTCTTTAGAGCAGCTAACTTTAATCTAAAGGCTAGTTACCTATCTTCCGAGCTAACTAACACATCCAACAAACCACCGAGTGCCTAAACAAATCTGTAATGTATGTATGTCTATTTTGTCATCAGCTTCCGGACCAATTCTCATAAGCAACACAAAATTGAAAGAGAACTTGTTCTGAAAGCGGTTGCAAGAAAGTAGAGAGCAATATGGTACGTTGAATCTTGCAAAGGAAAGAATACCATAACAACGACTCGCCTAGTCTGACCCAAATAAAACCCAATTGACAAAGGAACCAAGCAAGCAACCCCTGGATAAGCATTTGAAAAATTGTACAGGTTTGAACGGTTCCTTGGCTACATGAATCACCTTTTCCACATTATAAATCATACTATCCATCCAATTTAGTAATTCCTGAATGGAGTAGGCATGTGAAGGTTAGTCATGAAAATTGACCAAGCTGTCAACACAGTCAATAACATCAAAACGAACTACTTTCGTACAACAAGGAGGGCATGAGGTGGGTTTCATCATGGACAACAAGCTGAGGACAGTATTGAATGCAACTGGAAGGGAAACCAAGTGTGGCCATTCCACCTACATGAACGTGATACAGTGAAATCAAATTACCTCAGCTTGCATCCCGGCATGGCGTCTGACGCCAATAGCATCGTACATAACTATAAGGCTAAACCCCAAGCAAACTGGAAACAAAGAATCAGCTACGCCATGGCAAAACGCTACCGACGTCGTCAAAGCAGTACAGAGAGCAGAGTGGGAAGACGGCATCCCACCTGATGCAAACAAAATCCTGAAATCCCATCTCCTCTCCACGAAGAAATTTAGACACACCTTAATCGATTGAGCAGCGAACCAGGCCAGCAGACCGGACAAGAAAGTTGGGTTCGCCGCCAGTGCTGCCACAAACGGACTAAATTTGACTCTAGCGTTGGAGGTTATGCTCAACAATGCCAATCCAAACCCACTGTTATGCAAATAATTCCCACCGCCCGCTTCCTTGTCCGCTTCCTGGCTGTAGGATTGCAATAGAGAAACCCATTTCTTGGTGTGCGAGGAAGTCTTCCCTCCGATCTCGCGAAGGATTGGAACCAGAACCCATGAATGGTTGGACCAAGAACTCAGAGTCGAGGGCTTCCGAGGGGAATCGGAAGGGTTCGAGCAAGAACAGCGAATCGAAGGATTAGTAGAAGGTAAAGTTGCTGTGTACCTGGCGTAAGTTGTGGAGGAGCAGAGATGGGAAACAGAGGAAGGGGGAGAGGGAGAGGAATACAGAGAGAAAAATGATGGTCGGAAAAGGGTTAAGCAAGCCATGAAAGGTGGAGGAGGTAAAGCTGGCTGACTACAGTCTGCAGCATTGCAATTGCAGCAGAGGATTGACTCCCTTGGAGCCGGAGGGATGGGCGGAAGGAAGATGAGAAGAAAAGAAGCAACTGATTGGAAACTGCAATAAGGGACGGTTCCAGAAAGGTTTTGGAATTACAGAAAGACCACTGCAACTGCCTTGTAGCAAAGATGCAATTCATTTTGGCAAGGATGGAAATGGAATATGCCTTTGGCTAACAAGATTTGTGCTCGCACCTAGGGGTGGGCATCGGTTCGGTTCGGTTTGAACCGAACCAAAACAGAGTATATCGGGTCCCCGAAACTGTCTAGGAGCCAATCCGAGTTCGAACCGAAATTTAATTCGGTTCGATGCACCCAAACCGAGTTAAACATCGGTTCGGTTCGATTTTAACACACAAACCGAAGCTTTATAAACCCTAACCCTCACCGTTTCCCCATTTCGATCAAATCTCTCTCTCTCTCTCTCTCTCTCTCTCTCTCTCTCTCTCTCTATGCAGAGGAGAAAGGAGCGGTGCTGCGATGGTGGTATCTCCTCCGTCTCCTGACTCAGCGGCGAGCAGAAAGCAGCAGTGCTGCGATGGTATCTCCTCCGTCTGGCGACTCAACGGCAACGACGATTGATGCGAAAGTCAGAACACAACGGGGCGACAGACGGGCCCGGTGACAGGCGGACACGGCAATTGAATGTTTGAGGTGAGTATGAGTGTAGATCTAAGCATGCATGTCGTTTTTCTGTTTGATTTTCACCTTCGAGTTTCAATAGCATCATCGCTCTTTTCGATTTAGGAGAAGAAAACCTCGATTTTGGGGAAGAAATTTTTAATTTTCAATATTGATTTTGATGCATTTGGGGTTTTATGATTGAATTTGGGTTTCTGGTCTCAGGGAGGAGAAGAGAGAGGAAATGGCATCGATTCGTAGAGGAGAAGTTTGCGGCAAGGATAAGAGATGATAGAAGGATTCGGTGGACGGCGGTGATGCTTGGGTTTTTGGTCTTCTTTGTTAGGTTTAGGTTAGCAGTAGGTGTGAAAGAGTTGTGGGCTTGAGAGATTTATTTTCGGGCTCTATTTGATTTGGGTTGTGAGGGATTTCTTTTTGCGTTCTGTTTGATATTGGTTGTGAGAATTAGGCTTTTGTGAGAGCTTGAGTAGTCAGTTGGGTTGTAAGATTTGGTTAAATTTTTTGTTCGGTTGATCGGTTCGGTTGATCGGAATTCGGTTTCGGTCTGTATCCCCCTGGTTCCCGAAATAAAGGGTTTTGGCTTCCGAATTCTGAACCGAACAACACTAATTCGGTTTCGGTTTGGTTTAACTCGGTTTTGGTTCGGTTCGGATTTACCGAACCGGATGCCCACCCCTACTCACATCCCACATAGAAAGCCGGCCATAAGGGATTTGCAATTGGACCTACAAACCAGAGTAAGCGTTGTGGTTTCCGGACTTTTTCTTATAATTGGCTAAATTACACGTTTGATCACTCAAATTACTAAAAAATTTCACGTTTGTCATTCGAATTATTTTTCTTTCACATTAACCACTAACTTTATGATCCGTTAACAACGTCAGTTATCTGATGACATGGCAAACAAGAATGCTGAGTGGACCGACAAAAAGCTGAGTCAGACAAGTTGACTGCCTAATCAGCCTCAATACCCAACTCATCCCCACTAAATCATCATCCTCCTTTATCACCGACCCAAATTTTCTATCTGAGAGTTGTGTTCGCTGTTCTACCGTCGTCGTTGCCTTGCCGCCATACAACCCGACGTCTCCTCTCCTCTCCTCTCACATTTTATTTCCACACCTCCCCTGTACGTGGGCACCGGGCCGTGCCGCCCATGGGCTAGCACTGCACGGCACGGTTAGAACACGGCACGAGCACGGGCACGAGATAAATGGGCCAGCCCGGCACGAGCACGAATAATTTATGGGCCGTGTCGGGTCTAAACTCCATGGGCACGAGCATGACACGGTATATAAGTGGGCCGTGTCGGGCCTAATATTTTCGAGACTTTCTTGAGTATAAGAACGGACATGGCACAAAAATAATATTTATTTTATAGAAAATAAATCTAAAAAGAATTATAGGTTCAAATATTACAAAACATAAGGAGACAAATAATTATCTGTTGTTGTTAGAAATGTCATAAAGATATATACGTAATTACTAACATAAGTAAAAATGGACAAATAATTAAACAAAGTCAAATCACACTCGCTATACTTCCAGTTTTCTTCCCCCCCCCCCCCCCCCCCCCCCCCCCTCCCTTATTTGTTACTTTTCTCAAACATTATCGGTTAATACAATCTTCCTCCGTCCTATTTTCACCTTCTTTTTCATTATCTCTTTTATTTTCGTCTTTTTCATTAAACACGAATACGAGCATGACACAAGCACGAATAGGCACAGCACGATTCGAACCGTGACCGGGCCTAACAAAGTTAACAAATGGGCTTGCATGACACGACACGAAAACTAACGGGCCGTGCCAAGCACGACACGAAATAAATGAGCCCGAAGCGTACCCGTGCCATGCCGGCCCAAGCACGGCCCAGCGACCATGTACAACCTCACCATTAATAGTAAACGCTTCGACTTATCCCTAATCCATCATTTCAGAACTTAAATCCCTAAAATTGGCAGAAGGAGAACGGTGGACATATTTGCTTCCTGGTTCAATTTGAGAACTGCTTTCTTGTTTGATTGAAGAAAAAGAAGAAAATCATCAGTTTGTCTTATATCAATCTCAATTAGATTCTCTTCCTCGCCGTGAAAACTCAAATCCGAGTAAAAATCCGGTTCCAAATCCTTCACCTTTTCCTTAGTAATGCGATCCAAAGCTATCTAAGTAGCAACTCTTCTCGGTCTTCCTTTCCCACAAGAACCTTCCGCCGCAAAATCCCACCCTAAGGTGGTTAAAAAGCCCTCATCGCCTTCCGATGAGCATTTGGAGTCGGTTTCAGAGTAATTCATTGAAAGCCCTCTCCCCTTACCAAGACTTCTCCTCCTTCACTGTCCTTCACTCCTCCAGCCTATCCCTCACCAACGAGATCGCCCACCGCTCCTCCATCACCGCGCTCGCCGACCTCAATACCACATCCTACTCTATCACTTCTTCTAGTCCGACCTCCGCCGGGTGCCGCCCGCCGGCCTCTTCATCACCACGCTCTACCATACCACAGGTCCGGCGCCCTTCAATTTTAGTCGGTCAACGTGACCCAAAATCCGGCCACCAACATCGTCTATATCCACTCCCCCACCGTTTACTCCCCTTCCAACGTCACTGTCCTCCCCCTCGTCAAGACCATCCCCTATAAATCACTCTGGCCTAGCCATCAATCATCCCCAACCATTGATCAACTACCCAAATTGGGACTCCAATTCGCATGAACATAACCAATCAGACGACTTCATGGCGACATTGTGAATCTCATTCGTCGATGGCCTGCAAGCATCCCCAACAGCGTCGATGGATGGTTTCTGTTCTGCGCTCTTCACGAGAGCTGTTGGCAGCTTTGGCCTGAACGCAACAGAAGAATTTTCAACAATGCACACTTACCGCCTATTCACATTGCCCAGAGGGTCTTCAAGGCTGCTGCGGAATGGTTGATCGCCCATGGGAAGGTCGATAAAAAACCTTTGTTCAGAATGGCTACTGGCCTGTCTTTCTTGATCTGCAATTTGGGTTCTCTTACATTTGGCTTTTCGGTGGGTTTTCATTGCGTTTTCCTTTTTACTTTTTAGAGCAGGGGTCTTTCGGTGGACTTAGCTCTCTTTGAGTTTGATCGTTCCTTTATTTCTTTGTTTTTTTCTAGTCTTCAGGGGTTTTTCCCTTTTCTTGGGCACTGCTTGTGCTGCCTTCTGTACGAACTCGTTTCTGGTTTCAGTACTTTTAAATTATCTTCACCAGTATAAAAAAACTACTTTGTTCTACGACCCAAGGAATTAGGCAATCGAAGGCCATTATCTGGTTTCTTATATCTTTCTGTGACTCCGAAATTGGTAATTTCTGTGACTCCAAAATTGGTAATCAGAAGAAGAGTAATATTAAATGGAAGAAGATACCATAGGTGGTTTTGGAGTTCAATTGCATGCAACCTATTTTCAGAGTTCTTAAGTAAGTGATGGTTGGAGCTCATAAAGCACAGGGGGGGATGGGGGTGACCTTGCAGTCGCTGCCGGCAGAGAAGAAGGCTGTGGTGATGAAATTCCACGATCTCGAATGGTTATGGAGGCAGGACTGAATCCAAATACTGATCGGACTATGGAGGGGTGACTTTGTATCATTATGTTATGATACAACTTTACAATTTGAAGTTGTACCATCACATAAGGTACAAGTTTAAGTTGTATCATAAAAGAATTTGTACAAAAAAGTATAAGTATCATTTGAAGTTGTACCATAACATTAAAAGTACAATTTCAAGTTATACCATAAAGATAAAAACCTATAGCACCAATGCTATATAGCATTGTAAAATTCCTCCAATAGTTAACGATGACCACCAGCATGACAACCATGCTGAGATTACAAAAAAAATGTTCATGTTTGGTCACTTGAAATATATAAATCCATCGGTGGTACTTCAGTTTACTGAAACCGTTCACATTTGGTCACTCTTCGTTAGTTGCCGTCCATCTACGTTAAAGGAGTCCGTTAAGTGATGACATGGCAGACGAAATCGTCTAATCAGCCCTATCTAAACCAAAAATAGTGCGACCTGACCCGCCACGTCACTCAGACCCACCATGTCATCTAAAACAACACAACCCTCTAACCAGACCAGACCCTTAAACTAAAGTACCACTCAGATTAATCCCTAATTTATAAAACAGAACCCCACTTAGATTTTGTGTTTTTGTCCGATCCCGATTGCAAAGTGAAGACTATAGTTTCCACGCACTTCGTCGCGGAAACCAATCGACGAAGATTGACATCCGCAACGCGTTTGGCGATAGTAGTCTGG